GAGAGTTTTTACATGATGACAGCATCTGTGTCATGGTGTGATGGGCAGCAACGTGATTCTAAGTGTCAGAAACCAAGTCAGATAATGAGGCATCCATGTGGGAGAGAGGTGGCAGTGGAGATGAAAATTGGTTATACAAAGGCCCAGTGATTAAATAAGTAACTATACTAAGGATAATGGGAGCCTGGTTTCTCACAGCCAGGGAAGAGAGCTACAAATATGGAAAGGAAGAAAGTTACAAAAATAAATTCTGCGGTGTTAGATGGGACTTGGAGGTCCTGATGTGAATTTACGTTTTGGATGGATGGATGGATAGATGGATAAATAGATGTATAAGTGAGTGTATATATGTGTATGCATTATGCATATGTGTGTGTGATTATATAGATTTAATGTACACCCTTATTATGCCCCCCTTAAAGGGTTTGAAAATAGTTATACCCCTCCCCCAATCCCATAGCAATGAACACACTGGCTTCTTTCAGTTTCCCCTAAAAGAAACTAGGATTCCTTGGAGAAGTGGTTGATCCCAGGGCTGGGGCAGGGAAAGCCTGAAACATCTTGGGCCAAAAAAATAAGAAAATGCTCAAACACACTGAGAATACTCAAAAGGATACTGGAGCCAGCTTAAAGGGCTCCCACTGGCCAAATTTGGGACAATGTGAGCATCAAAATAAATAATGATAGTAATGGCTTATAATTCATTGAATAAGATAAGAAATCACCAGTTCATACTGACATAAGTAAATGAATGGATAAATTCAAAGTATGGTAAGAATGGTATATCTGCATAGTTTCAAAATACCTTCCCCCAGGCTGGGCGCGGTGGCTCACGCCTCTAATCCCAGCACTTTTGGAGGCCAAGGTGGGTGGATTGCCTGAGGTCAGGAGTTCAAGACCAGCCTGACCAACATAGTGAAACCCCATCTCTACTAAAACTACAAAAAAATTAGCTGGGCATGGTGGTGCATGCCTGTAATCCCTGCTACTTGGGAGGCTGAGGCAGGAGAATCGCTTGAACCCAGGAGGTGGAGGTTGCAGTGAGCCAAGATCGCACCATTGCACTCCAGCCTGGGCAA